CTACTGTATTTGTTGCACATTTTTGAAAAAAATAATCAGACAAAACTTGGAGCCTTCTGGGCTCCCTTTGCAATGAAAAGAAGCTGGGGAGAGGGCAGGCATTTCTCCTTATATATCCTATTCCACCCTTCTTGGAAACTCCTTTTGGGGAAGTCATTAGCTGAGCTGGAGTCCTCTTTGGCAACCAGGGATGACCAAGAGATGGTTGCTTTTCTGCAGATGGCGGGGAGAAAGGAGGAACTTTTCTCCATTTCTGGGGTCATCTGACCCCGGGACCCCTTGGCTTCCTTCTTTTGGGCCATGCTGCAGACAGCATCTCAACACGCAGACCCACCGAGCTTCACTTGCTGAACAGCATTTGTACTTTTTCAATTCCTCCCTCACACTTGGCCACAGTGGCATCTCCCTATCCCACATCTTCCTTCCTGCAGCCTCTTGAGCCATGTGAGACTGCTCAGACTGGAGCTTTTCTCTAATCGCTGGGGATATATAATTTCAAAAGACATTACCAGAGTACCAAGTCTGTCCAGCCTATAAAAAAATCCATAGTTTGTCCTCCATATAAACAGGGATGAAAACACTACACTTGTGCCTTTTACAACTGTCACAAACTCCTCTGGCACAGTGAAATAACTTACCGTACAATAATTTCAGTTTTGCTTTGCTCAGCGTCCTCCAGGTCCTTAGGATCCATATGCCAACAACTCTCCTGAACACCTAAGTCCAACAAGTGCTCCAAGGCATCAGTAGACCTGGGCAGGAGTTGATATAGGAGTCCCTCTTTCTCTCTGAACATGCCAAAAAAAGGTTCCCTGCTTAAGGGCAACCCCATTTTTTCCTGCCCATATAACAATCCTGCAGCAGAAACCTTCTGGGCTAGGAGCACAACCTCAAAATGTTCTCTCCACCTAGGAGTGCCAGGAGTCCTAAACAGACCTGCCCAGCCTCTGCTCTTGTTTGCTTCTTGTTGATCAGAGGCCCCAGGTGAATTATTTCTCCCACTCTTTGTTCTTTGACTTCAATTTTATTCAGAGACCTTCCATATATCCACATACCCTTTTGCCAATGAATCTTTCTTGTTCCAACAGTTTAGTGTGCCCCAAGATCAATATATCTTAGCATGCAAGGACACGGTGTTATTGTCAGGTTCCTGGGTTGTACAAAGCAAAAAGTATCGCTTTCTTAAAGCTACTGAAAGATGCTCTGGGCCAAGTATGGTTATTCCTCTGCCATTAAAGAGCTGTGTATAGGACTCTGGCTAATAACTCTCCATTCTAACTAGGAATGACTACTTCTAGTCATCATCAAAGGAGACCCAAACCCACTGCCCAGCCTCACCTTCCTTTAGTCTCATCTTGGACATCGCAAACTGCAGTGCCCAGATCTGGACAAATCCCCATTCTTGTCATTTGTGGTGTAATTTTGAAATAGACCAAATGAACACCACGGGGTATCTTAGTTTGGCTGGGATTAGGTGACCTTTCCCCTCTTTGGATTATAGGTGGAGAGAAAGGGAAAAGTCATGTAAATGTCCCCTTCCCTGAAGGTATCCGCTTGGCTCATCTCCCTGGTAGCATCGCTAACATCCACCCTGGCCCAGGACCACTGCATTTCTGCAGCTATTTACATTCCTCTGTCTTTGCTGAAGCTCTCATCCCTGCTTGCAAGGTCCAGGCTGGCCCAAGTTTTCCTGTTTTTCCCCCTTTCTCTGGAAAGGCTTCCGGCCCAACGCCACGTGTTGGTGGCCACCCACGAGATGCTTTGATCAGCTCAGATGGGCAGCGCTGTCAGGAGGCTTTGCAGTCCGCCCCAACGCTTCCACAGCTGCTGCAGCAGCAAGGTTTTCTCTCCCAGTCCCCTGGCATTTCCTGGTGGTTTCAGGGTACCTTTCTGGTATTGCTTTTATTTCAGCTCCCACCTTAGATTCACTTAGTTTCAGCTCACTTTGGCTGACTTTGCTTTGTGAACACTGTCCTTGCTCCTTGCAAGGGATTTAATGGGAACCCAGAACCATGATTTCTCTCATGAACTGCGCCGATGACCACGGAGGTCAGAAAAATGCAAGAGGCAGTTGTTTATTTTTATTGCATTTCCAACGTTTTCAGATGATGCTTTGCTGCAGTCCCATCCACTTTAAAACAAAAATGCCTCCTGGGATGCTGTGTTTTTGCAAGACATTGATGGTCTGTGCTATGGTCCAGAGGCCTTCCTACCCCTCTCTGCTTCTCTGTCCTCAAGTTTGCCACATCCTTGGCTTTACTGGTCCTCCTCCTGCTCTCCTTCACAGGCCCTCCTTGCAGGCAATGCCAAGGGCTGGAGTTTGGGGTGGAGGCAGCTATTGTTCCAGCTATCTGCAGTGTAATGTTCCTTATGACTGTATTAAATGAAGGGCGGAGGTCACACATCCCTAGTTTAAATTAGGTTTAGGCTGACCTTTAACAATATTACACTCGTGGATCCTCTCATAACTCATGGAATAAACTCCCAAAGGGTTTTACCACCTCGCTCTTTCCTCCTACTGTAAGGATGCCCGAGGCTTAATGTGCTTCTCTCCAATTTCGCTTTGATTTTTAATCCTATCCCCTTTTCCCCCTTCTCCCCCCTCGCTCCCCCCAATACAGATACATTCACTCCTTTAAGGTAGGGGGAAAGAACCTGTTCCTTTTCTCTTCTGGGCGACAGGTCTTTCTTTTGTGTCTCTTTCTTCCCTTCCCCGCCCCCCTCCTCTTTCTTGACACAATGCACTATTTATTTGCACTGAAGGATAACTAAGAAGCAATTAAAAGATCAAAAGGCACAAACACAAGTAGATCCAGTGGCAACTTGTGGGGTTTATTTTGCTGTAGCTGCTGCTGCTGAATCTTCACCAAACTGCTGCCGTGTTTCCCCCCCCCCCCGTCAGAGGACACCTCTCTTAGTGGGTCGCCTCTTCCTCCAAGCCGACTTTTTTACGATCGCTATTTTTCACCCCCATTGTTTGCTATTGCAGTTGTTTACTGGAAAATCACTTGTTTTTCTCAGGGAGATTAACCCTCCAAGCTTTCTTTTGTCTACTCTCAGGAGGTCCTTGTGGTGAGCTGGGGGAAGGGAGCTGGGCTCCTTCAGCTATTAACAGTAGCTTACAGCCCTGCTGACCCCCCTGCCAAGGCTGGGTCCTTTCCTTTGATGGGGTTCTGCTTTTGCAGCAAGGAAAGGTGGTTGCTCTTTGTTAAGACCACCTCTGCTGAGCGGTTTTTGAGAATGATTTGTGAGGACCCACAACTGGGATTTACTTAGTCCTGGGCATCTAGAAGAAACTCCAAAAGCCCGAGATAAGCATCGATAGAGATGACCCTTTTTAGGAAAAGTCTGGAGCCCTGACACATGTCAGCAGATACCCAGTCTCTTGGATGGTCAGGTCACTTATTTAGATGTTTAAATGTCAGTGCAGGAGCTGAGATTTGATGCCTGTGGTTGAGTTTGGCATGCATGGAACCACTTCCTCAGCATCACCACACTCTCTCTCAGGTGTGCCGATGCTTCGGGTGAAGCCCGCAGCCCTGACACCAGGACTGCTTGGTGTGATGTGCAGCGTCATATCGCAGAGGACAGCTCAGGGAACAGAAGGATGCTGGGGAGGAAAGGATGTCCAAAGCCTAGTGAGAAAGGATAAAAGTATAATCCTACCCACATTTTATCGTGCATATTTAGGGTAATTCTAACTGTTCGGAGACACACTGAGGCCCCCATACTTGAGGGGGGGGGGAGGGGGGAAAGTGTAAACTTGAAAAAAAAGAGAAAAAAAATAAGGAGTATTTATTGCATGCTGTGGTGAGGACTGCTGCATCCTTGCCCTTTCGCACCACTATCTATGGTAAACGCTGCCCGAGGTGGACCAGCCTGCTGCCCGGTCTCAGGTAGCTCTGATCCTCTCTGCTCCAAGGAGGGTGCATGCCTGTGGCGCATCCTGGTACGCACGCCCCTGCAGAGGGGCACCCACCGGGGCAGCGGTGAGGGTGCGGGCACCCGGGGGCTGCCCTTGGAAAGCCAGCGGGGTCCCTTCCCCTGGGACAGGCTTGAAGGGCAGATCTTCGGGAGCAGGCGGGTGCCGGCCGATGCAGCGCGGTGTGCCTGTCATGCAGCAGCGCGGAGCAGCGGGAGCGCGTTCTGCCCGCGCTGCTGCACACGCACGGGAAAAGTCCCTTTGCCTTAAAGGCAGCGGTGCCCGCTTGCAGGAGCCGGCGGGAAGCAGAGGCGACCTAGAGCGAGGGAACCACTGCGGGAAGGTGCTCTGCGAGGTGCAAAATCCGAATGCGGAGAGGCAGCGCCCATGTTGTCCACACGGACACGCACGGGTGGGTGCGGGGGCTCGCTGCTGCCGAGGCGGGGGCTCGCCTGCCCGCACTGGGGCGCGTAGGGTGGGACGGAGTTCCGGGGCAGGCACGGGAGCCGGGGCAGCCGTGCGGGAATGCCCGCGCCTTTGCCAGGGAGCTTTCCGGAGCAGTTCGGCGGCCGGCGCGGACACCTGTGCCCGTGCGCACCTCGGGAGACCTGAAAGAGGACGGGCTGGGCGATCTCCCCCCTCCTACCCCGCCAGGGCATGGGGCTCGCCGCCTCGCAGCGAGAGGCGCTCCAGGGGTGCCCCCCAGTATTCTGGACAGGGGCTCGGGGCTCTGACCACACACCTTCTCCCCCCACCTGCGGGGCTGCGGGGAGGCGGGGGATTCCTGCAGCCCACTTCCCACCTGGGGCCGGCACGGGGGTTCAAAGCCCCTACCCAGGGTAGCAGCCCGCAAAGAAACCGTGCGGCACAAACTTTCTGTCCCCTCTTCCCTCCCCGAGCTGGACTCCGGAGGATTACGAGGGAGAAGGAGGGAAGAAAGGGAGGGAGGGAGGGAAGAGAGGGGGTTAGACAGCTCTGCAACATTATTGGCTGCGTGGCCGGGCTGGTGCTCGCCGGCAGAGCATGCCCCTTGGGGGGGTATAAAAGGGGGGCAGCCGGAGCGCCCTGCCTGTCTCCTCGCTCGTGGGGCAGCCAGCTGGGAGCAGCGGGCAGTGAGGCAGCCGGCTCCTCCGCCCCGGCCAGGGGGACGCACTCAGTAAACACAAAAGTGAGAGCCACTCAAGGGGCAGCCAAAGCAAGAGGAGAAAAAGAGAAGGGAAGAAAAAAAGGGTGAAAAAAAAAACCAGGAAAAAAAAAAAAAAAGGAAAAGGAAAGGAAAGGAAAGCGCTCGCTCGCTCTTTCTCTAGAATAACAAAATACCTGATCGTAACAAAATAACATCCTTCAGAAAAAATCCAGCAGGGACTTGACATACCAAAAAGGCAAGGCGAGGAGAACGTGCCAGGGCCCGGGGAAGGCGAGCCAAAGCCGCGATCGCTGCCAGGGCAGGAGAGCAGCATGTCAAGCGCCGGGGCACACACGGATGAGCGCTGCCGGCAGCCCGCCTTCCTTCCCGGCCCGCAGCTGCCGCAAGAAGTTGAGAGTAGCAGTGGCAGTGCCAAGGTAAGCGCCGCTCCGCGCTGCCCCTCCGCGGGCAGAGGGCGGTGGGATTCCCCGCGCCGTGCCGGGCAGAGCCGTGCCGTGCCGCTCAGTTCATGCCAGCCGAGCCGGCGCACAGCCGTGCCATGCCGCGCCGTGCTATGCCATGCCGAGCCGCGCCGCCCCGGGCACAGCTGAACACATCCCGAGCCGCGCCGGGCAGAGCCGCGCCGTCCCCGCTGCCCGCCGTCCCCACGCGTGTCACTAGAGGGACCCCGAGCGCCGGCCCAGCGCTGCTGGCGGGCGGCCCCGCTGCGGTGGGGTGCGCGGGATCCCGGGGGTCCCTCCCGCGGCCGCCCGCACCCGGCGGCGGGGATGCTGGCGGCGGGACGCCCTGGCGCGGCTCGGAGCCGGCGCGGTCCCGCGTGGGGAGCGGCGGAGGGGGCGGCCGCGGCCGTGCGGGGGCCGGGCCGGGGCTATGCGAGGTCACGCAGCGCTGCGCGGCCCCCGGCTGCCGTGGCGCTCCCTCCGCGCCGAGCGGCGGTGGGCAGGCGGGGGGGGGGGGGGGACGCGCGGGGAGGGGACGGGCAGTTCCCCGGCTCCGGAGACTGGAGAGGTTATTAAACTCTCTTCTGCAAAACACTGCGGTGTGTTCGGTCTCGGAGGGATAAAAATACAGAGAGGAAAAACAAGAAAGCGAAGCCAAAATGGAGCGAGAATTAATGGTTGGCGTGCAACCTTCGACTTTCTGTGATTTTTTTATTTTTTAAATTTTTTTCTTCTGCTTCCTTCCCAATTGCTTTTCCCTGCAGTAATTGTTTTAAGAGCGCAACTTGGAAAGGTTTTAGCACTCTGAGCAGTAGGGAATTGGGGCACATGAGGGAACTCGGATTTAGCGTAACTGTACCAGCAGATGTGTCTGCCTCGCCTCCAGCCACGGGTACTTCAGCAGGGTTGCTGATACGCCAGGTCTCTCTCTGGTGGTGTGGAGCAATGAAGTGTAAAAACAAGGTTTGTGTGGGTGGTTTTAAACAGACACCTCGGGAGAGCCGCTGCTTTCAACCCAGTCTTCCTATGCAAAGTCTGTTGTTTTCTTCCCAATGCCGGGATGTGCTTGGGAGGCCGAGACCCGTTTTTCTTTGGGTTTGATTATTGTCAGGTTGTGGTGTAGGGGGTGGGGAGGGGTGAAGCGTGTTGGGTTTCTTTATTTGGGTTTCTTGTCTTGATTTAGAGTGGAGTTGAGGAGCCTGGGTCATGGGGTTTTGTGAGGGTGACTTTGTGCTAAGGACATCTGGAGGTATAAAACTGACTGACACTTCTGATTTGAGCTCCACTGCGCTGTTTTGGACCCAACTTGACAATTTTGGTGGGGGTGAATGGGTCAGAGCTGTAAATCTTGCTCCATGTTGTTGACACCCACACAAGTTCACTCAGCCTTTCAAAAGGGGCTATCCCAGCTCCTGTGAAAATTCATTAAGGGATAAAAGATTTGACACCGCCGGTCCCCTCCTACCACAGCATGAAATTTGAGAGCCAAAATGTGTCTGTGTGTGTGTCCCAGCGCTTTTCCTGACAGGTGATCTTTTTTTCAGCCTGGATGGAGGACTGCTGCTTTGAGCAGTCAACCTGGAGTTGTCAGTGCGTGTCTTCCCCTTGATTCCTCTAGGCTTCAGCATGAGCCCAGCTTGCCTCATGGAGCACCAGAGAAAAGCATTTCTGTACTTTTCTTTTTTTAAATAAAGCAAACACAGCAGGTGAGGTCTTATTTTTAGAGGGACTGAGGAGTTGGTGTGTTTCCAGCAGTGCATACGAGCACTGTAAGTGGCCCACCCTCTCCGAGCTCGTGTCCTGGGACTGACCTCTCCGATCCTTCTTTGGATTGTCTTTGCTTTTAAAAGCTGATGAGTGTCTTAGCAGGGCAAAGTGATATCGGCCTCCCTAAGCACGTTTGTCTGAGGGGTCACGAGAGGTGGGGGGCACAGGGGGAAGAAATCTGCCGTGGTGTTGGAGCCCAGCTCTGAAAGGGTTAAAGTTGTTCTGCCAAGATATAAAGCAAGTTCAACGTGTTGTGGGAATATCACTTGCCAGTAGACTCCAGTCATCGCGATTTCTGATTTAACAGCTTAACTTGCTGTTAACTTTCCCTGATATACTCCAGGTTCTGGAAGAGAATGCAGAAAGGAGAGAGGAACAATAAAGAAAGGAGTTAAGTGAGGCTACGAAAACGGACTTAAATCCCTTCACTGGGTCCTGCCAGCTGTCTTTAGAAGCGTTAAGCAAGATTGCATTTCCTTTTTTTTATACAATAAATCAAATGTTTCTGGGCTGCATACCAAAATTTGTGCAATACACTCTTACTCCCCAGTGGGGTGAGTAAATGGTACTGAATACCCCATTCACCTTTTTCAGCTTGATTTTTCCACAGTCATGGTAGTTCTCGCTGTAACATGTATAGATGTGGGGTGCGGGCAGCGCTCCCCTGCCTGCCTCAGCCTCTGTCCTGCAGGCAGAGGAGACAGGTGACTCTCCTGGCTCACAGGATGGGAAGAAGAAAGGTGACCCCAGGTGTGGGGCAGAGTGGGCTGCTGATGGGGATGAGCAATGAAGACAAAAAAAGTGAGTGCTAAAAATAGCAGCAGTATTGCCATCCTCAGCCACATGAATGTCATGCAAGCCAGGTTGTTTTTTTTTTCTTCAAGCTTGAGCTAAACAGCAAAACCGCTGGTTCCAGGTTGGTTTTATTCATCTGACAACTCAGTGGTTAAAAGTTTTGTGTTTTGAAACTTGCTTCTTTCAGGCTGTGGAAATCTCCTCATTTCTCTTTTAGATGAAGAGGGAGGCCCTTCTGTGGCACAGCATGAGGTGGCTTCTCTCCCTTTAGGTCCTGCTGGGCACCCCATCCTTGTGCCTCTGTCCAAGATGCAGCTCCTGGGTGGTTTTCAGCTGCCAAGGCACCTGCCTCTCCCACTGGTCTCCACTGTTCCTTTGCTGTTTGGTACCTCAGGGCGTCATGGCCTGGCACTCCATGCGAGGTTGGGTTGCCCCATGGGCATTCACTTGGCATGTGTGAGTTTGGCATCCTGCCCCTTCAGGATTGTTGTGCTCAAAACCGGGTCAGCTCCCTACTCTCCTGGGGCAGTCCACAGAGAGGAGTAATGCAGAGAGGCAGATGTTCAGCATCTCTCACAGGCAATCATGTGAGTAGCAAAACATCAGTCTGCTCACTTTTTTTTTGGAGGAGAGGTGGAGTGTGAAGGATGCTGGGATGTGCAAACTGGGGTTTTTCCCTCTGGCACACACAGCTGGGTTTGGGCTGGTGACTTTTTGCTGTGCTCCCTTTTAAATGCTGCAGTGCTCCACAAAGAAGCGAGGGGTTTTTTTTTCTGTCCAAATCCAAATTTTACAGACTGGGCCATCTGTCAATTCCCTCCTACGTTGTTCTGTTCATATTAAATTGCAATGAAGGCCAGACTGAAGAAGGAATTAGGTCAGACAGGAGGTTTAGTCTCCATTTTTGGGGAGGTGTTTGTTGCCCAAGAGGCACTGTGGTTTGATTTGCTCAGAACAAGCCTGGATGTAAGGGATGCCTGAGCTCTTCACTGAGATTTGGCAACTGGACCTTCTAGTGCATTGTGGCCTCTTGGCCCCTCACTCCCCAGCAGCTGGACAGTAATTGCCGATCCAGCTGATTCTGGAGCAGATTCTGAAATATCTTATAATGGTCCCAGGTGGGAGGGCTATTCCACTGCAGACCTGCCCTCAGTCTCACTCCTGGCACACCACAGCCACTTGTAGAAGATGCTTTCTGTTGGACCTCTCTGCTGGATGGGTACAGCAGTGAGGCAGGAATACACAGGAGTTCCAAGGCAGCGGCAGCATCCTGCATATGGCAGCTCATGGCTAAGCTGATTCTAGTGGCAGCCTGGCCTTGTGTAGGGTCCTGGGAATGCAGAGGAATGCAGGAGAGCGACATGAAGATGGAGAGCAAAGCAGACCCTTCCTGGGAAAGAGAGGCCAGCAGTGTGTGCTGATGTCCTGTCTGAGCCTCTTCTGCACTGAATATGCTGCTCTCAGATGCAGGTTATTCAGAGGAACTTCAGATGTGATTCCTAGGATGGTACACAGGGTACCTGTGCAACCAAAAAAATTCCTCTTGCATCACTCTCTTGCACACTGTATGGGGTCCAAGCCCTCGTTAGAAGGAATTTGGTGCTCACGTTATTGAGCATCCAGCATGCCTAGCACTGCTATTCCCACTACATCCTAAAGCCTTTGAGCTCTCCCTGGGCACATGAGGAGGAACAGCAGCCAGCATGGCTGGTTCAACCCACCCTGGCAAGAAGGGAACTGTGGTGGCTGTAGTCTCTCTCCTAGCAGAGACAGGATCTTGTTCTTTAGGGAAGTGGCCCACTTCCCTCTCTATGCCTTGTTCCTGTTCCATGTCATGTAAGAGAGGCTTTCTAATAAAATCTGAAGGTATTTTCAACCATTGGTGTGAATTTACTCCTGTCCCACAGCTGAGGAGACTGTGCCTGTCCTAACGCTTGGACTAGAAACCAAGAGCTCTGCTGTCCCATGTTTTCAGTGGAGAATGGAGTCTTGGAGGTGTTCAGAGGGCTTCGACTCATCATACTGGGCAGGATTTGGCCATGAAAACTGAGGCCCCATGCAACCTGTGCAGCTGGTCATGGGCTGCAGGTACCCAGCTGTGCCAAGGCACCCTGTCTGGGGGAGTAGCACCTGCTCCAGCAGCCATGGCAAGGCAGGTTCAAGCTCTCCTGCCTGAGTGCTGCTCATTCCTGCTAGGAGAGGCATGTGAGGGAGGGAAGGATCAACTGAAAAGTCACTGGGGCATGAACCGGTGATGGCGCTCTGGGAGCCTGTCTAGCCTTTGCGGGGACTTTTCCTCAGCAGAGGTAGTAGGGCTAAAGTGAGAGGGAAGGGCTTACAGGTTGGGTTGGATTGTGGCTCCATCAAACTGGAGAGAAACTGCAGCACTGGGCAGCAAGTAAAGATGCTTTTTGCTTTGCTGCCTGGTTTCTCATTACACGGTTGCTGGAGGGAGTAGGGAGACGCCAAGGTAATGGCAGTGGAAAGGGCTGGCAGTTGGTGCATGGGCAAAGGTGGACTTGATTGCATTTCACACCTCCAGGTTAGCCATTATCCGGATGACAGCACTGGGGCTGTCCCTGTCCTAGCAGCTTCAGGAGTGTTTCCTGGATGGAGTTATGGGGTGTGTGGCCACCCAAAAAGAGCTTGCAATGGAGGCAGGGAAAGCTGCCAGGGGCAGCCTTATGCTTGTGGTGTGAGTTGCGCAGGAGCGGGTATTTTCCGAGGAGCATGAGTGTTTTTCCACAAAAGGTATCAGGTCTCCCCAGTATCAGATATCGCCCCGCTGACAAAATCTCGCTCTCTCTTTGCTTTTCAGAGCATCTCACCCCTTTCTTTAGACTGAATGTGGAGGAAAAACAGGGTTTGTCACCTGTGCAACCAAGCAGCCCCTTCTTGGGGGGGTTGGCTTTGGCTTGGCCTGCTCATTAGCCAGCGTTAGCCTAATTGGGGATGGGGGATTACGTAGGTGTCCTGAAGTCCCACATCAGTGCCTTCAATGGCAGTACTGGATGGCACATATCTGTCACCTTGGCAATGAGCTGCTGGCACTACCCAAGTCCTGGGGACACCAGCAAACAGGAGATGCATGTAAAAAAAGAGGAAAATGGGGGGGAAAAAAGGGAAGGGAGCAGGATCGTTGGTCTTTTGTCAGTTGGGGATCTGACTGATGATGCTGCTGCACCAGAGGCATGACTTCAGCAGTGAAGGTGATGCTGTGGTCATGTTGGGGAGGCCCAGTAAACACCTGTTGGCCACTGGATAAAAAAAAAATCAGGGTGAAAAGGTATGGGTGGCAAAACACTGCAGATTGGCAGCATGGTGTCGCAACCTGGTGCCATCCCTCTGCTCCTACTTTAATACAGAACAAAGCCCCCACAGTATGCCAAAGGGATCATTGCTACTGGAAAAGCTCGTCCTGGTTCTCATCACTTGCTGGTTTGAGACCAGTTTGTGCCCAGGGCTGCTGCCTCTCTTGTTGAGAGCCCAGGAGGGCTTTTGTCAGCCTTGCTGGTCTCTGCCAGCACAGGCTGAGCAATACTATGAGCATCAACATTCAAGCAGGGCGGATGCCCCCCACAGCCTATCCAGACCTTGCAACTTCTTGGCTTTTCTTGCTGCTGGTCCCTGTCCTCCCACTGCTCAGTAGAGCCTGCGACTTGCAAGCACGATGCATTTCTAGCAGCAAGGATTCGAGCTATGTGCTAGTAAAAATTCGGTAGCAAGGGTGTCTTTATTGCTGGCAGGACTGTAGCGGGGCCTCGGGGGAGCTGGGCTAATTTCCTGGCTGCGCTGCAGACTTCCCCTGTGACCTTGGGCGAGTCATTTAATCTATCCTGGGCTTCAGCTCCATCTCTGAGCATCCCGGGAGGGTGAGGTAATATTCATTAACTGATGTTATTCTCGAGTTGCTCAGATGCTATGGTGATGATAGCTGGATGTGAAATCCAGCATCTTGGTTGAATGTTAGCAAAGAGAGGGGATGCTCTGCTTGAGATTAGGGTTGCCACACACTGTCTGCTATTTTGACACACTTATCCTCTTCATTTTGAGCTGACCTGTCTGGTCACCAGTGTTATTTGGCTGTATGTATACCGCGAGGCTCATCATTGAGGGACTATAATACCTTGAACAATCCATGGGTTTTGTCCCATCCAGTGGGGCAATAACAGCCTTGTTTTACACTTACAGAAGCTGACACAGAGGTAAAACTGGTTGCTGGAGTGGAGCCAGGGGAAATCTTTGGGCTAGTTAGCAAATATCCATGGAGTTTCTTTTTTAGTGCTCTGCACTGTCTGATACTGCCTTGGTCCTCCTTGGTGATGCTGCAAGTGTGTTTCCCATGGTACTGCATTGTTCCTGAGGGATGTCTTCTCGGTCCCAACTCCTCAGCAAACAGGGCTTGTGCAATCAGCCCCTTGATTGTCGGAGCCTCGCATGCCCAGGACAAAGGCTGTTGTTCCCAGCTTTCCTCAAAAGCGGCTCTAGGACAGGTTGAAACTTCACTTGTTTCTGCTTTGGAGGGACGTGTTTTCAGGTATGGCCTGAAAACCTGTCATCAGAAGAGGAAAAAAAACACCCTACTGATAATAATTTGAATGAATTCTCATGTAAAGGGGGCGAAAAAATAAAAAAATCACGCTGTTGAAAGAGCAGAAGGAACAAAAGCCTTTTAGACGTAGGTTGAAGTGGGATTTTCCAATGGAAAAACTGCTTCAATGCAAACCTTGTCTGACCGAGCGGCTGCCCGGCAGGCCGAGTGCCGGGAGCCGGCCTCACACCAGCGGCAGTCGCAGTGCTGCCGGTCCTTCCCTGCAGCATCTCCACATGTCCGGGCATCAAACCCCCAGCATGCTGTGGGCGGGGGGCATTGCCTGGGGGAGGTGGCAGAGAGGGGTCTGTCTCGCAGTGTTAATGCTGTGCCTCTGTCCCCAGGTGCAGAGGATGTGTGCGGCGAGGCGGATGCTGCTGCTGCTGCTGGCTTTCCTGGCCTACGCACTGGATTCAGCGGCTGCGTACGGCACGGCGGAGACCCTCTGCGGTGGGGAGCTGGTGGACACGCTGCAGTTCGTCTGCGGGGACAGGGGCTTCTATTTCAGTAAGTGCTGGGCAGCTGCCAGCAGCAGGCAGGATGCTGCCCCCATCCCACACCCTGTTTAAGTGGAACCAGGCCAAGAGGGAAAGGAGGGATTTCCCAGCCTGGTGCTTTTCACGATTTCCTTATACATGGCAGTAGGCCAGGAGAAGAGCAAGAAAATGGACATAAACAGGGTGACATAAACCCACCTCATGTCAATTTTGGGCACGGTCTTGTACCATGGGGAAACTGGGTCCCACATATGCTCGGGGAAGTTGAATATCACTGGGGAACCTTATGTGGCTGGCTCACCGGTCATGTGGGCAAGTCATTACAATAGCAAGGATGTCTGCAGCCAGCTCTCTGCTGAGCTTGGGTCCTGGCTTATTCTGAAACATTGCTGCCTAAGTGCTGCATCTGACAGCAGGCAGGGAGCTGAGCACTCATTCTTGGGCAGGCTTTGCTTTGGTACAGCAGCACCTTCTATGCTGCTCTCAAAACGCACTTCATGACCTCCTAACTACCTGATGGTAAACTTGTTGCTGAAGAGTGATGTCTTATCCTTTTGCAGTGCAGCTAGTGCAGAAAAAAAAAAGATGGCTTCAGGCCAGTTGGCTGCGGCGGGCTTTCCACCAGGATGCTTTGGGTGTTTGGACCATTGGCATTAGCATTACAATGGCTTAGCTGGTAAACAGGAAGGATGAGGAGTAAACCAGTAGCAATGGATGCTGAGTGATCTATGGGCAAAGGTACCTCGAGTGTGATACCTTGTTTTGGTGGTTCAGTCCTCTGCTCTGCTCGGGAGAGGGAAGACCCTGTGTTTTGCTCCCCACTGAGGACTGAACCACAGACTGACTACAGGAAAGATGCAAAGCCAAATGGGGGGGAAGAGGATACCAGCTGCACATGGTGCCATGTATTTGGCAGTCTTGCCTCTGCCTTGTAAAAAGATGTTAAAAAGTCACTTTCAAGTAATGGGGTGGGTTTTTTTGAGTACTGGAGTTGAGAGCCAGCCTCTCTCTTATTCCAGTCTGCCTATGCAGGGAACAGGTTGCTGCAAAGTTGGAAGATGACTCTGGATGTCCCTTTGCAACGTGGGTGCTTTGCCAGACTTGACTGGTGCTGCCTGCTGAGGTTGGGCAGGGAGAGGTGCAGGGATCCCACAGCCAGCCACAGCGGAGTTCAGGCTGTGTAATTCCTGGCAGGTGGTTGGACTGCAGATGGCTTTGGAACTAGCTGGGGCAATCACCCTGCCCCATCATGACTTAGCAGAAAGGTGTTTTCATGGCTCCCTGGCTGTTGTGGGCAGGCAGCACTTTTGGGGTGCTCTGGATGCATTTCCCTCTTCTGACTGATCCAAGTGGTGGGGGTTTGCATATCAGCTGCCCTTCCTCTTCCAACTTTCCTCTGCCAATGAGCCCTGTGCTGGCACTCAGCCAGGGTGGCAGCTCTGGGTCTGGCCTTACCGGCACAGCGAGGAGGCAAGCTCCTCTCCCGCTCTCTTAGCTCTTCCTCTCCCTCTAGATATAGAGGAGTATCCGTCTTCCTCCCATGGTTTCTTTTCCCTCCTCCCCCTCTCTGGGGATGAAAGGGAACGGGGCTTTTGTTTTACGGTCAAACTGACCTCCTTTCACCTCAAATAACCCAGCTGCCCAGGCCAAAATAAAACCACTTTTGAAGGGAGACAAGTCTCTTGGTGCCAAGTGGCCATTCTGGTGCTTGCAAGGGGATTCTTGCTTTTTTTTTTTGGTCCTCTCCTGTCTCTCCCCCATTCACCTTTATGAATATTTCTAGAGAGCCCAGGTGCTGGGGATAAAGCAAAGTTCCCCCAGTCCAATATTTTAACCCCTTCAGCATCTGACCAGCTTGTGCCATGCAGGGCTGAAGACATTTGGGCAATACCTCTACTTGATGAAGGGTTTTGTACATCCCCTTTTCATTTAATTTTTCACCTTCTACCTCCATCAGTTGGCCTCATAAGTGATTAATTCTCCTGATCACATTCATCTTAACTCCTAAACCCACGTGTCACTGTGTAGATGTGATAGGGCACAGTTTTGTTTCACAATTGTGGGGTTTACATCTTAAAGCTGAGCACCTCACAGCATGGGATGTATGATCTGATGAGCAGCCTGTGCTAATGCAGTCATTCATATGGGAAGTAAATGACTTGCGCAGCCTTGTCCCAGGGGACAAGGATCCTGCTTGCTGAACAAGGGTTGTTGAAGCATCTGACTGGTAATGTTGGAAAAAAACAAAAAATGGTATGAAAATCCGTTAGTGGATTTTTTGTTGCAGCACTTATTTAAGTACTTCTGATGCTCTGCATTCATAAAAATGAGCACTTTGCTAGCAAAGCTAGCTCTGAAATACAACACTCTTTGCACGGATGCAAGGGGATGCAGTGTACTGACAGTGTTTCATCCCCCAGGCATCTGAAGCTGGGGAAATATGCAACCTAGACTGAGCAGGGTGCACCCCTGATAACTGGAATGCCTGTCTGTCCACTGGCATGAGGAGCGAGTCCCAGCCCTCAGGTGCCCTGGGAAGCATTGTGGCGTGCAGGTGCTTGAGGCTGAGGATGTTAAAGCTGCCTCCAAGAGTTGGGGCTGCAAAAGAGCTGCACTAACAGGGGCAGGAGCCAGCACACTTTGTTCTCCTCTAGTGATGCCTCATCTCAGTGACTTTTAAGGCTTTTGGGTTGTCCTGCAGCTGCTGTCAAGGTGGTGGCTTCCTGCTGTGGCTCTGTGGCAGGGTTGGAACCACTCTCCCTGCTCCCCAGCACTCACCCAGGGACAGCGGCACAGCCCATGGAGGAATTCTGAGTGCAGCCCAGAATGAAAATGCAGGGTAGATTGAGAGGAAGCCTCGGCTGTGAAGTTGCTGTCATGCAGTGCTAGCACGGAGGGAGAAGGGGCTGTAGGGGGAGAGGCAGCCGACTTCTCTGTAAACAACAGCTCCTGTTTCCTCCTTTCCAACAGCTGATAAGAATTTAGCTCTTTGCAGCCGCTTGTGCTGACGGGGCACATTCTTGCGCACCCGCCGCTCCTCCGAATAATACTAGGAAAAAGCAGGGGGGAAAGTGCGGTGCCGGGGTGGGGGAGGGCCAGGCTGGGGGCACTGGGACGGGGCCCGGTGCTGCACAAAGGCCCCCTTGTTGCTCCCAACATTCCTGCGACAGGGGCACGGGGACTGTTTACACCCAAAGTCCCCTTCCACTCGGCTGACCGCCTGATTGACCGGAGGAAAGGGGACCCAGCCAGGGTGGCACCAGCACAGTGCACCCCTCCCCGCAGCATCTGTCCCACCCTGGTGAGAGTGGGGAGCCCAGAGCAGTGGGGTGTTGATGCTAGGGAACGGACCCTCCTGTCCCCCGTGGCCATGGCAGTTTCACTGCCTCTGGCACAGTGGCATAGCTGAGCTGCAGGTATGTGGTCTCTCTGGGTTTGGCTTTGTACTTTTTCTGAGATGCCCAGCCCTCCCTGTTGGGATAGCCCACTGCTACGTTGCAATAACCCCAGGCAGCAGAAGGGCTTTGCACTACTGGGCTTTGCATCACTGGACTTTGGGCTCATACCCTCAGCAGTGCTGTAGGAAGTTTTGGTGAAGCACAGTTTTGGGAAAAAGAGCCTAGCCATTCATTGAAGGCCCAGAGGAAGCGTGTTTCCTCAGGAGGAAGTGGTCATTGCTGCGATGGGAAGTGGCTCGCGTGCCCAAGCGGTGCCGCAACCCGCTGCCCACACAATTCTCCCCTGCGGGTAAGAGACAGAGTGGCAAAACCTCCCTTGGGTTTGGCAGTGGTAGTAAAGTGAGATGCCACCCATGAGCAAAAGCCAGGAAATTCAACCTTTAGTCCCTGTGTAAATTGTTACGGAACAAACACTTTTCCCAATCCAGGTCAGCAGCAATATTGCTGTTAGCCAGCAATGTCCTGGTGTTTCTTCCCTGGGTTGTTGTCTCCAGGTACTTTCTGTGACTACATCCTTGTTTGCTATGTTTGCTTATTTTTTTTCCTAAAGTAACTCTCCCACAGAGGATTGTATTGGCATTTGGCAAGATCCGTATGGACAATTATGTAATGGGAAATGTGTCCTATCAGACAGTCGTGGTGGAGCTGGTAGTGGTGCCAGCAAGGGGAAGGGCGTGCAGCAGCTTTATGGAAGAGAGAAAGGGCAGCACATTTGGGGCTGGGGGCCACACTTGTGCCCACTGGCTTGGCAGGCGCAGTAGTCAGGGAGGAAAAGGCCATAGCAGTGCAGTTGGTCCCTGCTGGGAGCTCACCCTCATGGTGCCACACCTGGGCATTTGCTAACACACGGTGACATGATCTTCTCATGCATACCCATGCCACAGATTGCCCTGGGTGGTGTGGCGGTGAATACAGTCCCGCTTTCCTCATTGCTTTTTTTCCTCCTCTCTTCTTTCCAAACAAACACATAGCTGCAAGTGGGAAACTTCTGTTTTTGAGAGGAGACATGTAACCTTTCAAAACCTCAACTTCTCCTCAAATCGTGTGTCATCACTTGTGCAACCTTCTGTTCAGCGGGAGTGTGAATGCAGCCCTCTGGGGACGTGCTAGCAAGGGGGGGTGACTTGAATTTTTTTCTCTTTCCCTTCCAAACTCTCCTTCTGCCCATGCTCACGATGCCTTTCTGGAGCAGCCTAATGCTTCAGCAACCTGCCATGCCTACAAGTTGTGCACTGGGATTGATAGATGCTGAGCAGGGGCCGTAAGCAGTGCAGGGTGTTGGTGCAGTGCAACCTCTTCCATGGACCTCACTGGACCTTGCATGCATAGAGGAGAATGCAGCTGGCCCCAAGCTGGCTCCTCTCCCCTGCCTTCTTTGGGCATCACCACCCAGGTTGCCTACACTGGCATTGCTTGTGCAGCTGCGGGCACCCAACACACCTGCCCTGCCTCTACAGAGAGGTCCCAGTCCAGTGTGCTTTTTGGACACAAGTATTTATATAGAGAAAACTAAACTACTAACAGTGTTCCCTTTGCTGAACCTTTACCAAGAGTGAACCATCCTTCTCACCTTCCTATGGGGCTGGTTTAAGGTTGTGCCTGTAATTTTTCTAGAGAAAAAGAAAAAGAAAAAATACAGATGGTTGCACTGGGGGGACAAACATGGAAAATAGAGTGTTTAAAATGACTCCCAAAGGTGGGTCTCATGGTATGAGTCAGCTGCCCCATCACCCTGGTGCCATGTTTGTTATTGTGACCTCTGAGCATGGTGGCAATTCACCAGCATAGAGCAGAGGGCTCCATTATATGGGGTCACAACCAATTTTAGCAGAGGGTGGGTGCCCTGCTGCCAGGGCTTTTCCAGAGTCAGCAGTGAGGCATGGTCATGGGGTTTTGCATGTCAGCATTGCACACACAGGGCTGCGTTGTGCATGGAGGGTTGTGTTGTATATGCATGTCTGCGTTGCACACACGGGGCTGCATTGAATGGACAGGGCTGCATCCCACATGCATATCTGCATTGCACATCTGGGGCTGCTTGTCGTATGTGGGGTTGCACAGTATGCATAGATAACTCCTGTGCTTTGCACTTTGCCCCGAGGCACTTTGGGTGGGCACCGAGGGTGGGGTACACCCCAGGGAAAGTGGTCAGCTCCTTCTAAGCCAGGATCCTTAAATCTTCACCGAGGCCTAATACTTGAGTGCCTGCTTCCTCTGGAGTACAAGCAGGGGCATCATGGGTCATGCACAGGGCCAATATGGACCATTTTGTGTGTTCCTGCAGGCCAGCTGAGGTGTGGAGGCTTGGCATGGCTTGGTGAGCACTGATAGGCATTGCACTTACACAACTTGCTCTCTTAAATTCTCCTGGTTTCCAAGCCCCACTGGTGCTTGCCTCTGCTTCCCTCGCTCGGAGCACCTTGTGCTGGGAAGAGGTAGTGTGTAGAACCCTGGCTGTAGACCCTACAACAGCACAAAAGCAAAATATGCTGTGTGCAAAACCATGAAAAAAATAGTTTTGTTTACATTTTGGAAGTCACAATTCCCAAGCAAATTTGCTTTGCATCAGAAATCCAAATTTACTCATCTCTTTTATTTCAAGAGAGGGAGGAAAACAGTGAAAGTGATGTAAGCTTTTCCTTTGGAGTGCTTTGGTCATCGTGAAGCTGTTATATGAAATGCACTTGGTCGTTGCTGCACCAGATATGGGCTTTTGCATCCTTCTGCAGGCAGAAATGGGAGAGGAACACTTATTAAAAGATTAAGTTTAATAGCTATTCTTGGCGGGTGTGGGAGCCTGTATTCTTTCTGCAGCTGTCTCAGAGCTGTCCCATCTGGTAAAATTTAGCCGCCTTGGTTCGCTTCACCTGCCTGAGTGTTGACCCGACAGAAGGAGGTTGGCAACTGCAATGCTATGCTGCTTCTTTCTAATAAAATCCACTTGCCAGGATCAACATCTAAGACAGTCGCAGTAATCAGCACAGAGCTGGCGGTCAGGCTGGGCTTGAGCTTCCTTGCCTTAGCTGCGCTCAAAAAGTCCACCCATGCCAGAGATATAGGAGGGAGATAAATCCCCATCATTCAAAGTACCTTTAAACTACAACTGGAGGCATGTGGGGAGCCTGTTGGCATCAATAACATTTGTCTGGGAAAGTCTTAACATGAAACTTGGCTGGTTTGAGGGTGCGTGTCAGCTGGTTTGGGAGAAGCGCTGCTATTTTCGAAGCATGTAGAACCCACCAGTCTCTGGTGGCTGGTGGAGGGATGCTTGCAAGGGGATAGGTGCTATGAGGTAGGGAGAGGGTCCTGTCCAGGTTGGTGGATAACACAAGGGTCTCTGCTGTTGCAGGTAGACCGGTGGGACGAAATAACCGGCGGATCAATCGGGGGATTGTGGAGGAGTGCTGCTTTCGGAGCTGTGACCTGGCTCTGCTGGAAACATACTGCGCCAAGTCCGTCAAGTCGGAGCGTGACCTCTCCGCCACCTCCCTGTCAGGCCTGCCAGCCCTCGGCAAGGTAGGGAGGCTGTGCCGGGATGATGACCCTTCTCTGAAATAAATAGCGAGAGAAAAGATCGGAAGACCGTGAGTGGGAGAGGACAAATCCCAGCTGCAAGCTCTGTTGCTTCTGCAGAGCCTTTGGGAGACAGCCACCATTGGCAAGTCATGCCAAACAGCCTGCCAAAAGACAGCTTTTATTAAAGTGGGGGACCAGAGGTGGGCTAGGTCACAGTCATAGAACGGTTTGGGTTGGAAGTGACCTTTAAAGGTCATCTAGTGCAACTGCCCTGCAATAAGCAGTGACATCTTCAACTAGATCAGGTTGCTCAGAGCCCCGTCCAACCTGACCATTACTGTTTCCTGGGATGGGGTAATGTTTCCATGGGATGGATGGAAGTCCAAGAGGGGAACCACCCTCTGGAGTGCAAGCAGGCTTAAGCAGAGGCTAATATTGCTGTCCCTCTCCTTGCAGGAGAGCTTCCAGAAGCCCTCGCACGCCAAATACTCCAAGTATGACGTGTGGCAGAAGAAGAGCTCCCAGCGGCTGCAGCGGGAAGTGCCCAGCATCCTGCGGGCTCGCCAGTACCGGTGGCAGGCTGAGGGGCTGCAAGCGGCTGAGGAAGCCAAGGTGCTGCATCGTCCCCTCATCTCCCTGCCCAGCCAGAGGCCTCCAGCGGTGCGAGCCTCCCCGGAAACGGCTGGCCCCCAGAAATGAACCCTGACCAGCTGTCTCGATTTTTGATCTCCTGGGGGAGGGCGGGAGGACTGGTGATTCCCGACCCCCAAGCCCCTCCGTCCCCGGGGCCGCTGAGCCAAGGAGCGGGGCGGCGGGGCACCCTCACGCCGCTCTGGCCCCAACCAAACAACTGACACAGCAAGGAGGGGATGGCGGCGGCAGCGGCGGTGGCGAGCAGCACCGCTCCCACGGCATCGTCCTTTTGGGGTGGGGGGGAGGGTTGTTTCGTTTCCCACACCTGTTTCATTCCCCTGCTTCCCCAGTATTTCCAAGCCTGTACTTGCAAAGGGACAGTTTGGCACTTGAACTTTTTGCTGCCGGGTGCTGCGTGACATCCCCGGTGCCAACACCAGAAGACAAAAGAAAGAGCAAGAGGGAAAAAGGATATGAAGTTAAAATTTTTTTAACCTTTTTTTTCTCGTGAAGAGTCCATTCCATGTCTTTCTTGACAATAAAGTGAAAAAAACAATAAAATGGGGAGAAATATTGAGGAATAAAATTTTTTTGCCTCATTCCCACCCCACTTTTTTCTTCTTTTTTTGTTCTTTTTTTTTCTTTTGGTTTTCTTATTTTTATAACTTTCTTTTGCACCTTTAAACAAAAAATGTACCTGAGAAGAAGTTCCGAGGAGCCCCCATCTGCGTTTTTGTGTGTGTGCTTCATTACAAGATTCCAAATCGACTTGCACCTTTTGAAATCACCGATGATGTGAGAAAGAGAGGAAGAGGAGAGAGAAAGCGAGAAAGAGAGAAGGAAAAGGAAAGGGGAAAGAAGAAAAAAAAGAAAAAAGTGAGCTGATGCTCACTTTAAATGGAGAAGGCGTCTGCATTGCACATTTGCCACGGATTTAGTTGATTTATATATATAATATATTATATAACTTTTTTGGCAAAAAAAGCACTATTTTTATGGGACATTTTGTGTAGTATCTGAAGAGGGATTGTAATGTTTAAAATGTGTTATGGTGCTAAAGTAAGTTGGAAGGGAAAAAACCCAGAAATAGCAAGGGAGGGTGGGGAGGGAAGACAAGATAGCGAATACTGAACTTGAAATTTTAGCTTTTCGTTTTAGGAAAAGTGTGATAAATGTGTTTCTTTTCTCTTCTGAAATATAGCTTGGTCATGACCATATGAGCTAGTTGGCTGTTACTCATGTACACAGATGCACGCACACACAGAAATACATCAACACGCATCCTTTTATAAAAAAAAGAAACAACAACAAAACAAAACAACGAAACCACCGCAATTTAGAGCTAAAAGGGAACTGTTCTGGAGACAAATTATTTTGAATGGTGAAGGTGTTGCCAGTTACAACTCAAGGCCCTGCTTCTGCACGGACCCTTGGCAGAGCTTGGCTTCCTGAGCCACGGGGAACCTGCCGCTTCTTCCCCACCCTCACAGCTTGCTCGCGCGCCGATGCTCCAGCGAGTGGGCAGGCGGGCAGCCCTCGGCACCAGGCCCCTGCAGAAGCAGCAGCAGTTCCGCGCCCTGCCATCTCCTTTTCCTTCTTTTGTCCTTTGCGTCCTTCTCGCCAGACCCTCCTCTCCCTGCCCCACGCCTCCCGCCTTCCTCCTCTCGCTCCCCTCCCAGGGGCTGTGCAGGAGCGGGGCTGCACCAGGGTGGCTGCAGGGCTGGGACCGCTGCTTGGGATGGGGGGGGGAAAGGCAAATCTCTGGCTTGAGGCTTGAGACTCGGGACTCAGTGAGTGTATGGGTTTGAGAGGTGGGCAGAGGGCTGTAAAATAGGTTGGGTTTAAAGTAATATATATTATCTGTCTAGGAACCGTAAAAAAGGGGGAATCAATTACATCTCCCTGATATACTCTCACTTGCTAATAAAATGGGGACACTCTGTTAACCAGTTCTGTACTTGCTTTGTCTTATATATCCATACATTTAAAACATAAAAAAAAGACTACTTGAATTGTATTCTATTTCGTGGTTTGAAGGGGAGGGCTAGGGGGAGTTTTGAGAGGGGGAGGATTTTAATGTATAATCCTTTTGTTTGTTATTACCTTGCAATGTTGAGCCATGAAGCCTTTGTTTAAAAAAAATGGCACTGCAATACACAACAAAGAAAATCCTTTATTTATTTTATTAAATATATATGGAAAAGAATGAAAATCAGTCCAAATTAAGAAAGGGGGGGGGGAAGGGAAGTGGGTGGGGTGGGAAGGCAAAATTTAAACAGAGCAATTGCAATTTTTTTTTTCCTTTTCATGTGTCTTTTTTTAAAAGAAACTTAGTTTTTATTTTTTAAAAAGAGAAGTAAAAGCTTTCCTGGATGCTTTGTACCAAAAAAGAAAAAAATTAAAAAAAAAAAAAAAAAAAAAAAAAAAAAAGAAAATCTGTTAAGCAAATAAATATCCATCCAGAATATGAAGCCTGACTTTTACTTTTCATTTATTTTTGCTCCTGGGGTGAGAGTTGGGTGGGAAGAAGGCCACGCCAAGCACCACTCCTTGTGGAGAAACAGAGTGCATTGCAGCTCCTCTTTTGGAGCTCAAAAAACTGCAAGAGGGGGTAAAGTGCTCTTAAACACAACCATGAAACCTCAGTCTTGTGGCAGATACCCCCTGAAACCACCAAGGTAAATATATGCCCAGTGATTCTTGGTCAGATTTGGGGATGTTTCCCAGCAGCTGTTGTGATTTGCTCAGCTTCTACCAGTTTGGGCTGTTCCCAGAGACTTGAGAGCTGGATGGGAATTGAGAGGGTAAAAAGGAGAAAAAAATGTCTTATTTAGGTTAGGTTTCCTAATAGGTATTCCTTGTGTGGTTTCTCAGGGTAGAAAAAAAACTTCTCTTAAGTTTTTTGGAATACTAAATAACTGCTTTTCATCACATATTACCATCATGCACCACTGTAAATGGGAGGTAAAATACTGCAGTTCCAATTTGGCAGTAGAGTAACTGGGGTTAAAACAGTGCCTAAGCATCCCTAATCTCCCAAATCTGTGCAGCTCCACTGCCATGGCAAAGACCTTTATCTTGCTGTGGGGTAAGGACTTCACCAAGCCCAACCTCCTGCCCCAGATGACTTGGGCTGGAAAAGATTTTCCACCTCAAAGTGGCATTGCTGATTTAGGCCTTTAAAAATACATGTTCTAAAACAGTTTCTTTTAAAATTTTGCAACAAGCAAAAAAAAATTATTATTTTTTCACAGAAAGTTTTTTCTCTTGGGATTTTTGTGGTTGGTCAGGAGGGGGGTTGTACAGATGCAGGGCTGGCTGTTTCCTCTGGACATGTACTTTACAGCAGGTCAAAAAAGGATGTGTCTGCCTTCCTGTACCTGTCCCAAGACTTGCCACAGACCTCTGGTTTTCTTTGCATTAAAAGATGTCCCTATGAAGGGTGAGGACTGACTTCACTGTGGCTTCTGGTTGTCACTGCTGGAAATTTTGCCTTTGGGAGCTTTGGTCCTTTTCTGTTCTTTGCTGCGTAAGCTACTGTCAAGGAGGCATTTAGAGACAATTAAAAAGCAAGAAAAACTTCAGTCAATACAGCAATGCTGGAAGCACCATGAGGGTGATGATGATGCTTCCAAGTATGGCTATTCTTAAACCCTCTTTTCTGCCTTATCCTGTCAGGGGCCACCACGGGGCCAGACCAGACCAGCTCATTTTTTTGGAGATAAATTAGGAGACTTTTCAAAATGTGCCGACTTTCCTTTTGGCTTGTCCAGGACTGCCTTTGCTTGCAAGGAGAGACACAAGCTGCCTCTGAGCATGATCCTGGTCAGAGGGTGGGAGTCTGGATGAAACTGGACCTTTGCTTTGTCTCAAATGTCTTTTGTTGCCTGCAAAGCCTCTTTGCAGGTTGGCAGACAAATCGTGGGCTTAACTTGGAAATCTCAGACTGCGGGCTTGAGAACAAACCAAAGATGCCATGTTTTCTCTGGTGGATGGGCAGAATTGACTCTGATTTTTGTACTGATGCCTTTATACACAGGTGCAGTTCCAAGTGGTTAGCTGTTGGATTTCAGAAGCATGGGAGGCTGCAGCAGCGACAGGCAGTGATCCCTGGGGAAGGAAAACTGGCAGATCTGGGCTCCCAACACATCTCCATGACCAGCCCAGCTGGTCCAGGGACCTCCACCCACTGCTCTACTGACATGCAAGAGGGTGGGGAGGCAAAGAATGGTTTCAGCAGAGAAGTCCTAAATGCTTCCTAGAGGCCCAGGAACAACTGGGAAAGTTGATGCCACATCCTAGTCCAGCACCAGCTCTGGCCCCTGAGTCTCACCATTATCATGTAACTCTGCGGGCAGCAAAGGGCAAATGTTTTTTGCATAAAGCATCTCTTTAGAGGGCATTTTCTCAGGTGATAAACGTGGGGATACCAGGAAAGAGGGAAGGTCTAATTTGCTGTACAGAAATGGCCACAGTGTTTGCAAGGTATGTAAATCAGTGTAGCTGGCTTTGTCTGGATAGGGGGAGACACAAGTGGAAAAAACACCACCAGGTAACACATACTTTTCCCTTTTTCACCTCATTTTACATTATTTCTTAGCTTTTTTTTTTTTTCCTTTTAATCCAGAATGCAGCTGAGCTGTTACCTAGCTTTCAGTGAGTCATACTAGTGCCCATCAGGATGGACTGAGTCTCCAGACTGGTTCTGCTACCTCTGCATCTCATAGCAGCTTCATCCCTTTAATCATGCCTGCTCTCAAAAGTCTTTCAGTGATGTACCTCACTGCACTAAATGAAGGACCTAGCTGCAGCAGATGAAGGGAAGAACCATGTTTGTTGTTTTTGTAAAATACACCTGTTTTTGTTGTTGCAGTACATACTGTCCACTGATGATTTATGTGGCTTTGGGGAGACCTGGGAAAGGTACTGCTGTATCGTGGATTATTTCGCTTGTGTGCATTCTGCAGTAGGCAAGACTCAGATGCTTTCTGCGCCTTTTGTAGTTCTCATTCGTAATGCAGCATCAATGAAGCAAAGCACTTATAACAACCTTCTAGAAGGCAGCTGGTATCTTTTCCCCCTCCACTTTATTTATTTTCTGAGGAGCAGATGAGTCATAAAACACCCCGAGGCTGGGGTAGCACAGCAATTCCACAGCTCCCGGTGTAGGCAAGGGGGGAACCCTGGTTTGCAAAGATAAATAGACCTCATGTCCCAGGAGGGGTCTGTCATAGCCACCAAGGTGCCAGGGTTGGCTCTCTCCCCCTCAGGTTGCTGAAGGATGCTCTAAGTGTCAGCAGGCAGCATGCACTGGCAGACATGACTTCAACCTACTGGAAAGGCACAGGTCCTCACAGGAATCTTGGCCTGCTTCGCTGCTGCGCTCCCAGCTGTGCATGGCCCAAGGAATGCACTTGCTCATTAAAATCATGTCAGCGTTTGCAGAGAGCCCTGAGAGAGCCTCTTTCCCTGCCGCCTTCTTGTAACTGCCAAAGGGGACTGAAAGCTGAGGTTTCCAATCTGTCAGGCTCTGGCTCAGAGACCAGCAATAGCCTGAAGGCAGGAAATTTCTGAACTGGGGTGTTCTTTGACTTGGGCAGCATGG